CATACAATGGTCTGGAGCAACTGATCACTACATAAACTCGGCTCAAATCAACTGGTTGCCTGCAGGAGCCTCTTAAGGTCAGTATGTATTTCAATAAATGATTTTGTTAAGAAGCTAAGTGGAACCTTTCTAAAAGAGGTTATGATTCCAAAAGGAACATTGCTTTAAAATTTACTATAAAAAAAAACAACCTGCTATACAAATGTGATTTATTAAATCAGAGGATTGAGTTTTGGGTCTAACAGCGGACATTTATGGTTACAGTTATCCAATATTTATTGGACAAAGACACAGTTTTTCAAATTCTGCCTGTGCACACCACAACAGTAAATTTACATCACACTATCAATACAATCAATATGTAATGTAATTGCAGACTTTTTGCTTTTAAATTAGAGACAAAAATGTTGTATTAGCTACTTTGGAATAACAGATACTTTTATGCACAGTCCCATTTTCAAGGTCTCAAAGGGGATTAGACAAAATGACAAAATATCAAGACTGTTTCAGCACTTGGATGGAGATCATCTGAAGTCATCATTTGAACTATTAGTGGTTTGCCACTAGCTGCAAACCCTTTATATTTATGTTTGTGAAGGCATCTCTTTATTGCAGACTTTGATAATGATTACCTCCTTGAAAATATTTTTAACTTTGTTAGACGTTGTGAAGTTGTTGGGGTTTTTTTTAACCAATGAAATGCAATTCTGTTATTGCTTCTGGTATTTCAGGCCTTTTTGTGTTGTTGGCCAGTGCATTCCTTTTTTTTAAAGACTATATCAGATTGTTGATTTGGTCAATCCTAAAGCTTTTCAAGTATCTCCAATTGTTTTTTCTTGTTTTTCAGCCTGATGATGGACTGTTTCACTTATATTGACACCCCGTTGGAACTTGAATTGTGAATTCCAGTGTAAAGCTACTCGATGCATGTTTAACACTTGGAATCAGCTAAACAAACCATTGTCCAATTAATTTGAAGTCTCTGGAAATGGGTGACTGTGTATGAAAATGTGTGTAATTCCTAAACAGTTATTTCAAATCTTTATGAAACCCCTTTGAACTAAAGCTGAAACTCTGCACTTCAATCACGTCTTGATTGTTTGAGGCAAAACTGCAAAAATGTATCTTGTTCAGTGAATTATGGACCAGACTGTATGTTGATCATTGTTTACGGTCAAAATGATTGCCATTTTCATGTGAGAAACTTGTCGTGCAGTGTAGTGCATGTGATAATAAAACATATGAGGTTAAAAAAAAAAAAAACTAGACATGAAATATGCTTCAACTCTTAATAGCAAGATAGCATTTTAAATTGTTCCTTTTATTCATTAGCAGCGCCTTTTAATTACAGTACTTTGACAGTCATCAATACAGTGAACACCTTTGGTTAGTAACCTTTATATATTTACTTTTCAGATTACTTCTCTATAACATTATATATATATAGATATATTTGTATATGATACAAAAATAAATAACTTAATTTTTAATTGAAATATTCTGCTCAAAACTTTACACATTTGGTTCAACTTAACATTCTTTAGGCTAACTATAAAGTATCCTTATAAAATCTTGGACGGCTACATTGGATTTATTATGTACACAAGCACAGTGTGAGTCCCAGTATAAGGAGTACAGAACAGTATGAAGAGGATTTTATAAAAGGATACTTTGTTTTTTGAGCAGATGTATTGGCAGATGTAGTTTCTTCCCCTCTGCTGTCGGACACATGAACAATAACCGTATGACTGTTCCCACCACTAACACATGACCCTACGCTGTGTTCACTGCATCATTCCATGTTTGGCACTGATCACCACCTGCACTCATGTATATATCATGTATATATCATGTATATATCTATCCACTTAGCACTTTTAATTCTTATTCTTATTTTTATATTTTTATGACAATATGTTTGCACTGAAGCACCGCAGCAACTTCCTAATGTTGTAAACCTGCTCAACATTTGGCAATAAAACCCTTTCTGATTCTGATTCTGATTCTGACATGGTACTGGTACAACAGACACAAGAATTTATGAAGACAACACAAGGAGAAGATTGCTGTTTTCTGGTCTTCCGAAAATCATTAGATAGCAGCATGCAATTTGCAGGTTGACACTGTGAGACAATCAGCCGTTTGGCATAACTCACAGCCTGCTTTTGCTTTGTCAAACTGACTGACGGCAAAGATGATGCAGAGATGTGATAATACGAATGAACCTCCAGTGTTTGCATCTCTCGTTTTCCTTTTTTTCAATATTTCCCACTAACCTTACTCTAAGACCTGTTGGTCAGCAATAAATAAACTTCTTTCTTTGGCTGATTCATGTCAGGTTTACCCATTCGTCTGGCACGAACTCTCAGCTACATGTATCCTGTAGTAGCCACATTTCAATTCCTGGAAAAAGCATCTTCTACAACAATAAATATCTACATGACATTTTGTATCACAGCTTGTACAGTGTATATTTTAAAATTGACTTACTAATACATTATTGCAGCACAGAAAAACACATTTAATATCACATCACCACTATTACCACAGGCACTGACAGTTTTCTATGATTTACTAATTTTGCTCAGAGGCTGTGCCTCTCCGTGTGGTAGCGTCTGAGTTTCGGCCTCCACGCTACTCTGGTCTGTTGTCTTCACCAGAACCTGTGGGACTGTTTGCTTGTTTTTAGTCAAATCAGATGGTCTCTGGAGGGATTTTTCCTCCCACTTTGTTTCGGTCTGTGTGTGTGCCTTCTGTGTCTGGCCCTTTCTTTCCTCTGTGGCAGCGCAGTCAGCGTTGCATTTATTGCACAGATCCCTTACGTCCCGAAGTCCCTGCGCCAAGCACTTTACAAATTCTGCTGAACATGTCTGTTGGCTCTCATGGAAACTGGACACGGAGAAGATAATATGGTCTGACTGAGGGTTGTAGCACGCGCCGTATCCGTTTGGAACCACGGGTCCATAGCAGCAGAACATTTCAACAGTAGTGGGAACCTGAGGGAAGAGTAAATGCTTCAGTCCTAAACTACTAGAAGCTTTACTGGTGTGATGAAATACTGCTCTAGGAAAGGTTTAGGTAGGTAGTGAGACTGATTTGTGTTATTATGTTTTTCCTCATTCATTACAAGGAAACCCTAAACTGTAGTTTTAGTTCAAACAACCAGTTACCATTTTTGTGTTACAATATAGAAATTTTATAAAGAATAAACAAGAAGGGCATAACCATTATAGTAACTGCAGTGTTACGATGTATTAATACAGATCAAAGGTCAGGGTAGATGGCTGTCCCACTTTCTTTTAGTTTCTTCCTGTTAAAAGGGAGTTTTTCCTTCCCACTGTCACCAAGTGCATGCTCACAGAGGATCATGTCATGGTTTGTTTGTTTTTTTATATTACAGTATGAAGTGCCTTGAGGTGGCTGTTGTTGTGAATTGGCACCGTATAAATATAATTGAATTGAACTGAATTTTAAAATATGAATCATTTTATTCCAAAATTACATGCACATACCTGACTTGTAGAGAGAATGAACTGATTACTGATAAGATAGGCTTCGTCTTTGAACATTTCGAGCTTCCCCATCTTCATTTCATGTGCAATTTCACGCAGCCCTAGTAGGTGATTGTCTATTGCCATCCCTGTAAGAGCCTGAAAAATAGAAAGTATGTTACTGCATTTATTTAATGTGAGTCTCTGTCATAGAAATCTGGAAGAAGAGAATAGTTACCAGACGTGTATAACTGGTCTGTGCAGTTATCGCTCCTTTCAACAGTTCCATCATTTCTGTGTCCTGGAGAAGTAAACAACTGACAGTCAGTGCTTAGTCTTTAAGGTCATTAATTTACAGTAAGTAGATTTTCATGCTTCAATACATCAAGACAAAATCTAATAGAAAACAGACTAGCATTACTGACCCCCCCCCCCAAAAACCCCCCCCTCAAACTGATTAAGCCACTCAAAATTAATTTAAACCTGTAGCAGCTTTTATTTGAGTCACAGTATGACTTTAGTTTCTGTATAAAAACAACCTACACTTGTGCTGTTTTTCCTTTCAGTCATTGCTTTGACAAAGGCAAAGGCTTCAGGTGTTGCTGAGCGAATGTTGTCTACTCTGCCTTGCTGAAAACGACGTAGAGAAGCACTCTCATAGGTGGACACCGGTCTGCCATGACACCTGCAGTCATGTACAGGGAGAACAAAATGTAGGTAAGTTTAATCAGTTCTGTAAGATGACAATTTTTTTTAAATTTTTTTTTTTACCTGTAGAAGCCTAACTGAAGAGCAAGCTGGATGTAGGCATCTGGACTCATCTTCTGCTTCTTGATAAACCCTTTCCCGTAATCATGGAACTTGTGGACATTTATATCCAGATTCTTTACCATTCTGACAAAATAAGAATACATTTTATTGAAATCATGTGCTTCTCATATTAATTAATCTCTTCAAATGACAAGGAACTAAAGAAAACCACACCTCTGGAGTTTATCAGCAGCAGATGTGATGAGCTTGTGAATTTCAGGAGTGCATTTCCAGCGGAGTCTGCGTGGCGCGGGCAGCTCGCTCACACTTGCAGCTCTGACCAGCTTTGATGGACTCCCAATCCTTATGAGTAGAAATAAATGGAGCAATTATTTATAATAGTCGTATTTTTTAAACATGTAACTCATATATACTGCACACTTCCAAAATCAGATGTGTGTCATTTCTCACATGCATTTGAGGAGATACTCTGTGCACTGCACAAGGACAATTCCTTCAAATGCAGAGTGTTCACACACGACTCCACAGCAGCCATCAGCTCCTACAATAAACTGTTACAGAAAGGTTGTTTTCAGGGGTTGTTTTCTTGAGTTGGACTGAAATGTTTAATAATAAAAATTTTTGATTGCTGCACCTCTGCACTGTTTGCTCCAAATACATGTTCTTACATCCATACATTACCCCCTAAAGTGAAGAAATCCTGAGTAAACTAAATTATTTTGCCACTTTGTGAGATGACGGCTTTAAATCCAGTGGAACGTCCACTTTTAGTTTGCATTTCCTTAATTGGCCATGGAACTGGTTAGTTATATCCTTTAATGCTTTGAGAAATCAACATGAATTTGTTCATTTAATTTTCCTCATTAAGAAGGCAAAAAAACTTCCTCATTAAGATTTGACAATGTTTCTATTAGATAATGGCAGATGGCTTTGATCATGAGTTGAGGCTGTGGTTTGGGGCCTCAGTGGGGACTGGTGGTGGTTGCTGGGCTGACAGAGAACTGAAAGGGGCGTGCGTAGAGGTGTGGTCCTGCTCCTGAAATTCAAATAAATTATCTCCAAAAATATTGTTCACTTTGGACATCAGATATCTTATCGTATCTTATCTTTCAGTATCATTACATGGATTTTGTTATTTTAGACAGTTCCCACGTTTTCTTCAGACTTTTCTTTCCCTTAATAACAAATATCACTCAGAATTTTGGTCTCCACACAGAATGTACAAAAAGTTAATAAAACAAACATTAATTTAACCTTTTTTGTTGATAAATGTGTTCACTTACCTGCATTGGCTTATCATACCAGCGGTTGCCTCCATTCTTTGTCAATCCACCTCCATGCAGCATCAACATGGCTCGTTTGGTGTCACTAAGTTCAGGTCCACTTGCGTCGTCCAGACAGACGAGACACAGACAACGCTCAATCATGTCCAGCGAGTCCCTGTTGGTAGACTCTACAGGAAAACAAAAGTCCATCTGAGAGGCACCTCATATAAAAGAGTTTTTATTGGCAGTCCACATAAAATCCCTTTTGAAATGTACCTCTCATTAGTACACTACGAGACTCAGCCCACTCTGTCCGTCCATCTGAAGTGAGAAGCCCTATAGGAGGGAGCTGCTCTTCTTCGTTGTCAGCCATCTTGACAATCTTCTCCAGCTGAGTCAGCAAATCTCTTTGATTCAGTTGCCGGAAGTTGATCATCACATCCAGCACAAAGAACTGGACAAAGGGTTCAGATTAGCCACAAAGTTTTAGGAATCTTTGGTACTGACTAACTTTCCTAATCATGTGGACATATGCATTGTTTCAGAATTTCCTGACATTGTGAAATAACATCTAAGTGATTCTTTTAGCATTGAGCCCCAAACTTAGCCAGAGCCACAAAGAGCAAGAAGAACAAGGAGTACCTGCACAGATGGTATGACTCCCTCAGAAGCAGTTTAAAGCCACAGAAAAACTGTGCAAGTGTAACAAATAGTGGGGCACATGATATAAGGGTGATGTGGCGCAAAGAGTTGGGTGTTTGTTTTGTAACCGGAAGGTTGCCAGTTCGAGCCCCGGCTCGGACAGTCTCGGTCGTTGTGTCCTTGGGCAAGACACTTCACCTACCGCCTACTGGTGATGGCCAGAGGGGCCGATGGCGTGATATGGCAGCCTCGCTTCTGTCAGTCTGCCCCAGGGCAGCTGTGGCTACAACTGTATCTTGCCTCCACCAGTGAATGAATAGTGGAATTGTAAAGCGCTTTGAGGGCCCTGAAAAGCGCTATATAAATGCAATCCATTATTATTATAAAATCGTTTTTCTTTCTTTCTTTCTTTCTTTCTTTCTTTCTTTCTTTCTTTCTTTCTTTCTTTCTTTCTTTCTTTCTTTCTTTCTTTTTCCTAATTTCTGTTTGAATTAGCTCAACTGATAATCTGATAATAAAGCCTTAGTTTATTTACACTCTTTATTAAATCTAGTTGGATGTGATGATCTTAATTCAAGTAAACATCAAGTTTCCATCACAGACAGCCAATTTAGAACAACCAAACCTAACAAATCTGTTTGTGGGCTGTGGGAGGAAATCTGCACAGACATGAGGAGAACAGGCAGACTTCACACAGAAAAGCCCGACCTAGTTACATCAAAAGGAATTTCTTCTTACTATAGTAGGTTCAAACTAGTAACAGTCTTACTGTGAGGTGACAATGCTAACCACTGCACCACTGTGTCACCCCTATTGTGAAGTGATCTGTTCTGTTTTCATTAGCATTCCAACATAAAGAACAAAATTGTGTGTGGAGTGAAGCTGTGGAACAGACTAAGTAAAGATATGAAGCAATGTCCGAAGCATGGCAGCAGTTTAAAAAGCGGTTTAAGGATATGGTTTTTACAGGGTACAGGGAAAGGTAGAGATTTGATAGGGTGTTCTTGTCCAATATTTTCATGTGTGTGCGGGTGCACGGGTATGTTGGTATGGGTATATATATATCTGTAGGTTGTGTATCCTTTGAGGTGTTACTGGGGTTATTGAAAATGTGTATATAGTGTGTATATGGATAGATAGAAAATATAATAATATATATATATAATATATAACATATATAATATATATTGTATTTTATTGAAAATGTGTATATGTGATGTGTATATACGTATGTATGGATAGATAGAAACATATATGTATATATATATAAAAAAAAAAATTACACATGACATATAATGTAATTGCAAGGAGGTATTTCTGTAGTCTATTGATTACTAGATAGTGGAAAAGGGGTGGGATTAAATAAGCTTATGCTTCTTCCTGCTCCTTTTTGAACATGAAAGTTATTTGAGTTGTGGTTGCTCGTTTTCCTTTTGTTTTGCTTTGTTCATTTGTCTCTTTTAATTCTATGTTGTTGTACTTTTTCAACATGTTCAAAATAAAGATTCAATCTATCAATCAAATTGTAATGCATATCTATGAGAAATCTGGAATGTGCTGTGTTACATGCTAACCAATCTCTCGTTGGATGAAGACCATGTAATATGGTGGAGAACTAAGAAATGGCTCTTGCCCTGGGTCTGTTTTCTCCAAGTCTGACCTGGTTTTTGCACGCCACGATGATATGTTCAGGTTCTGGCATCACGCTACTCTCCTGTGCTACGAGAGTGTCCCTCTCAGGTCCTGGCAGACGGTAGGAGGTGAAGAGACGATAATACTGCTCCATACACAGACGCGTTCCTGCCAGCTGGCCCCGGGCATAGTCCACAGGCAGGTCACGGCTACACGCAGACATACACAACATTTTCAGGCTTTTTCTCTACACAAGAACTGAAAGTGAAGAATATTCTTTTGTGACAATTTGAATTAAATGTTAACTCACTCATCAAGGTGAGTCTTGTACTCCAAAACTCCAGATATTAAGTGTGCAGCAAATCTAGAAAGAATATCTCTGCTCAGTTTTAATGCTTCACAAAACACACACATTGTACTTGGTCACTCTTTTGCCACCACACTTTTTTTTTCTTGATTAATTGTGTAGCTTCATTACACCTAACAACATAAATGCTTCATGTAAATCATGTGGTTAAGGAACCGGTAAAAGATCAATACCATGTTAACCAAACCACAGTTTTCGGACCTCGAGGCATTCTGAGTAATGACCCTTTCTGAAAGTGTCCAGCCAAGAGGGAAGTGTTCAAATTTGTATAATCAATGAAATCTGGTAGAAAAGCAATTCTCACAGTTCACTATTATTTGTCAGTCTTTGTGCTGGAATAACCAAAATCACCGACAACTTGTAACACGAGCAATTAGATATTTTTTTTTTCTTTCAGAGACTGTTTCTACACCAGTGAAGAAAGGATTCTGTCTACTAGTGGATTGCAGAGGCTTCGTCTGTCCCGTTGTATCAAATGATGAGATTTTTTTCGTGGTTCACTCGTCTCAGGTGTGCATACCTTAAAGAGTCAATAGGAGCCATGAAGTTCTGCTGTGGGAAGACCATTGCAGGACTTGAGTTGACAGGTAGAGCAAGTCTGTTGTTCAGGTACATATCATTCAGCCAGTAGTCATAAACCTATGGTGGAAAAACAAAAAGCAAAAACCAAACAGGATTGAAGGTAAAAAAAAAAGAAAAAAAAAAGGGACTGGACCATTAAAAGCAGATAAAACAGCATCATGCTTCACAACCTTTCTAAAAGGTTTATCGACATCAGTAATGTCTTCAAGATTTGGTTTAAAACTTTAACATTTTTAAACGTATAAGCATCCAAAACACAGAGTTTTGTTTCTTAAATACCTATATTTCACTTATTAATTAACGTCTTGTAACATTAAAATTATGTTTTTAATTTTTATTTACCCAGTTTGCCACGTTTTCGCTCCTCTCCGTGAGTTTGCTCTGTAGTAGCTCCCCCACTCCTCCAGGGGCTCCAAACTGCGTCACTATGTTTTGCGTCTTGTTGAACTGTTCTTCTGTGAGCAGGTGCTTCATGCACCTCAGGTACATGTCCAGTGTGTCTTTCAGGTTGGGCACCGGCAGCTTTGGCAGAGCCTGGAGAACATGGTGGGATGAAAAGCTTTCACTTCTCATCACCAGTTTTCCTTTTTCCAAATTCTTGACTAAACATGACGTAAGTCTCCCCATGCAAGGATTGCGCATGCTATTAAGCAAATATTTAAGGAATCGATGAGATTCCAATTAAATTCCAATTAAATTGCCCATGAATTCCAGCGTAATCCTTTGAAAGCCACTTTTATGTCCTGAAATGTTGTTAGACCTTATTTGATTTTGCAACCTTTAATCGTAAAATGTAAATTTATCTGTTGTAGAATTGAGAAAAACATATACGGTGTACTTATAAGGCAGATGGAAGATGTAATTACATCTCGGCCCCCTGAATCTTCGGAGGCGTCTCGGTCGAAAACTGGCATGTTGGCGGTGTAGACGGGCAATCAAGCAGGTGGAGTCACAAGAGGAACTCTCTGTCCACAAACAAAATCTACAGTCATTATTTAAAGTCGACACTTATTAATATAAATGGCAGTCACAGTGACAATCGGAAACCAACACACTCACACTCAGAAAAATAAAGGTGCCAACTGGAACCAAAAGTGGTTCTTTAGGCTGATGCCATAGAAGAACCTTTTTTGGTGCCACAAAGAACCTTTCAAACAATGGTTCTTTAAAGAACCATTTCTTTCAGTGGAAATGAAAATGTTTTACCTTTTCCAACAGTCCCAGAATCCAGATCTTCAAAGACCAGCAGGTGCTCAAGACTGCTATCCGCTTCGCTGTCACCGGTCGTGAGAAAGTGTTTTTCCCTTAGAAAGTTCAAGGCACACCGCTCGCGCGATCTGCCTGCGCATGCACATCCCAACGACTGACCCCCTCCATCCGCTCCCGGGAGGTTGCCATAGTACGACGTGTTCTAACGTCTCTCTCTCTCCCTGTCATTCGGCTCAAAAACATTTTTAATAAATTGCTCAGTGATGAACAAGTACTCAGATCATTTACCCAAGCAGTGTGCTTTGCCAAAACTAAGTAAGTGTGTTGGTAAGTGTGTTCATTAGGCTTTGGCCCCCACCCCTGCCACCAGTATATTTTTAAGCAAGTATTTCTAGCTTTATTTGAATATTCAGTTTCCTACCATCTGCTCTTAAAGGGTAATCACCAGGTAACCCGCCCTCCACCTTCGCACACACATACACACAAACAAAACACACAGTATAATTCACACCCTCATTATAGTGAATAAATATTTATGCCATTTTACACCATCAAACTTAGATAGCTAAGGATGAAGAACCTTTTTTTCTTTAAAGAACCATTTGTAATAGCTGAAGAACCATCTACAAAATAAAAAGGTTCTTTGACGTATGATGGCTCTTTAAAGAACCATGAAGACATCTGAAGAACAATTTAAGAACCATCAGTTTTCATCTGCAGATGAAAAATATTATGATGCACGCAGAAAGTTGATAAAAAATACAAGATCAGACTGTTTCTGTCTGCCAGAAATATACAAATGCGCACTTTCTTCAAGATTATAACATGCATGAAGTGAGAGAAAATTGCCTTACAAAACTGCACATTTGATGAAAACATGTTCCCAGTACTAAGGCGAAACTAACAAGAACAACAAAAAATAGAGTGCAACTGAATTTTTTACTCACCAGCGAGGGAAAAAACACCCTCTCTTCCTGGAGCTCAAGAAGGTAGTTTTAGTTGGTCCATCTTTACTTGAATCCGTTTATAACAGAATTTCTTTAAAATGCCACTGCTTCGATCCTTCATTTTAAGCATCTTTCAATCCCCTACATGGCATGAGCACAACTCCCTGGCTGGCTCAGGAGAGATGCTAAAAGAGGATACCTCAGCCTCCTGACAGCCAGGCTCCTCCCAGAAGTCCTGCTATTCGCCGGGAAGTTTATTTGGCACTTCACATGCTCACCCCACCTTATTTAGACGCCATCTGAGCTCCTCAGATGCTGAAGCACTTTGCAGGAAAACAATTAGGACGCATTTTTCGTGGATTTTTTCCCCCTTTGGCTTTCAAAATTTACAAACACTACACGCAGAACAGTTTAGGCGCACGACTCCTTTCACCTGACTGCACCTGACCGATTCAGATGACGCCATTTAACGTTATGAGCAGATATTTGTGTGACCAACAAGATGCTTCAATGGACCCTATTATTCATATAAACCATAAAACTCTCTGAAATTATTAATATTTTGAACCAATGACATTTTCCCCAGAAATTTTCAGTTACACTTTCACTGTAAAATCAAATGCTTCTCTTTATTTGAAATTCACGGTCAAGGATCAGAGCACCACAAATATGTTGGCCTTAAAAACTTTAATTTCAGATTTTCTTTTTCAAACCAATTTGTTTCCACGGGCAAAACATGTCAGAATCTTTAAATGAGACACTTTCGTGTTTTAACAACACATTTAAATATCATTCTTCAGTTGCGATAACTTTCTAAGTATATATTATCTCCATTTATAGAGGAAAATAACATTGCAGAATAAAAATTACAATTTGTACCCTAAATAAACCATTTCAATAAACAATATCATTCGCATGATGATGATTTAATTATGTACATGAATATACATTTATGTACAGTCGCGGATCATCATACAGTGAGGCTATACATTCCTATGCATTCCAGAAAAAAAATTAATAAAACGCAAAAGCAGATTTCACCTTTTCCCCCACCTTTCTCAAATGCCGTGTGACATACAATACAGATTACAGTGAAAGACGCATTACATTTCTTCTTTTGTTCAAACACATTTGCACAATCCCTGAACACGATATGAGTCAGTTTCCGATACAATGATAAATACTCTTAATGAATATACATTTATCTCAGCAAAATCTTTCACAGGAATCTCACCTTTAAATAAAGAAACGCAAGCGAGCACCTTTCTGCTAAAGCTTTAACCTACTCAATTTGACAAAACCCAGAGAACTTGTCACCAGAAGCGGTAAATAATTGATATTGTTACACAATCATAATAGTGTTATGGAATTGATTGAATCGGACATGATACAGACAACTCTACATTGGCACTTGGATAGTTTAACACCCAGCTAAAGGTCTTTTACGCATACTCTCCCCCAGAGGATTCCTCCTCTGAATAAGAGCGCCGAGCAAAGGTCTCAATGCCATTCTCGTCGATCGTTGTACACAAACCCTTTCTCTTTTTCTCCCGTTGCTCCATCTTAATCGTATCATACAGTCCCGTTGGACCGTCTTCTAGAAGCATGTTTCGCTCGGAGAAAGAAGGCTTCATTTGTGTCACGTTCTTCAGCAGGAGCAGCGCCGGTGCGTAAAGTACGTTGGCGAGCCCCATGCCCAAGTTGAGCTGAACGAAGCCCAGGTCGTGCACTATCTGTCCGGCCACCACGGGCCCCAGGGCATACGCCACGCAGTAGGAGATGTCTGCAATCGCGTACACACTGCCATACACTGACACGTGGCGCACATCCACTAAGAAACCCAAAGTTGGTAGAAGTGCCGTGTCCACGAAGGCGATTCCAAAGCAGATGCCACACAGCGGAATCATCAGCTGTCCAAAGTTTTTACAGGCTGGCACTGTGCACGAGCTTGCGCCTATAAATACCATACCTATAGCCCCGTAAAACCACTGCAGATGGGGGTACTTGGCTGCTAATTTCACAGTGAGATACACACCTAGGACATGAGGAAAGAATGCAGGGAACCATGTCATGCCGATCTCCCACTGGCTGGAATGCATGGTGTCCTCCATCCAGTTGGCTATAGTGGGCTCGAGGAAAGCGAGGGGGATGTTACAAACGATCAGAGCACCGGCCACAACAGCTATGTAAGGATCAATCATGAGTTTGTATATGGGGGTACCAACTGGCATGTTTTCTCTCTCACGATTAGAGAAGGGCTTCAGCACAGTCAGACATAATATGCCATCAATGAGACAGATGCAGGCCAGAATCACGAAGGGCACCGACTTCCCTGCGAATTCATAGAGGACCCCTCCAAACGGGGGCGCCACAAGACTCCCAAAAGAGATGAAAGCCAAGGCAATGCCAAGCGCTTTGCTCCTTTCTGCCTCCTCTGTGTACCTGTCTGCGATCAGAGCGATCCCGGATGTGTCGGCGAAAGCAGAGCCTAGGCCTTGCATGCTGCGCGCCAGGAAGAGAGTCGCGTAGTTTTCAGCAAAGGCAAAAATAACAGTGGAGAGAAACATGACATTTAGTCCGATGAAGAGCGGGATATCATACCCGACCCTGTCTATAAACGTGCCGCTTAGCGGGTTGACCAGGAGCTGCAGGATGGCCTTAGAGGCAAAAAGAACGCCTATCTGCAGATCGAAGTTCCCCTTGGTGATCTTGTGGGTGCTATTAGTGGAGTTGGTTGCAACAGCTTGGCTTTGATCCGCTGCATTCTGTAGCTCTTCAAGGTAATCGGGTATAATTGGCACAATTACCATGTACAGCATGTTGTCTAATAAAAGTGCTATGCAGACTATTACTAGAATAATCCGTTTCTGTCGTTCTGGGTCATGCATTACATTGCCCAGTTGTTTAGTTCTTTCACCCATCTGGGACAATTTGGAGGCGGCAGACTGTGCCATATTAGCGCCCTGGCCCTCTGTGGTCACCTCCGGCTCCATGATTTTATCCTTTTCTGACTCAAGTCTTGACTTTTGAAAAAGAAATTCTGCTTCCTCAGTTTGCTTTTCACAGAATTACGCACACTTGGCACATGTGTGTATGTTCTTTTAAAAATGGTGTTTTCTTTTCCGGCACTCCAATTAACTAAGTAACTTTTCTCTGCTTTACCTCTTCTCTGTCGCTTGCGCTGTTCGTCATCGCACACGCGTTTCCACTTGTGTGACTTGCACTCGTTTTATCCCCGCCGTCCTTAGTTGCTTCATTGTCTCATATCCCGTCATTCAGGTGACGCGCTTGCCCCGGGCAGCACTCCCAGATTGGGGATTCACCCACTCCTCACAGTGCCGGCTCCATCAGTGCTCTGGCTGTTTTAGGTCCGTTTGCTGCGCCCCTCCGGCACCCAGACACTCCCAGCTGTCTCCGGTCACCTGTAACGCTGTGAGCTAAGTCATCATTTCGCATCAGGCAAGATGTTTTTTGTCGGCGGAGGAAGGAGTACACACTGCAGTTTGTTGGCTCCCATAGGTATCCCCCTCCCACCTTCGCCAATGGCTGTGACGCACAGTCCTGCTGCTCTCCAGCAGATCTTTTATGCTAATTAAACATAAAATCCCGAGTGCGCACTGCTGTCCACTGAGTTACTTGAAAGGAGAGTCGAAGATTCATGGCTCAGTTTAACCTTCTCAATGTTAAACAGTTTTTACCAGATTTTCAGCGGTTATAATTGATTCAAAGCTAAAAGTAGAATAATTTTCTAATCGGACACACAGAGGAGCACATATTCAGTTCTCTGGTTGATTCTGAATTCAGTAACGCAAGGAATGCATTTGCGATCACGAGCAGCAGTACCCATACAAGGAAAGAAACATGCAGAATTTTAGTTTTTAAAATGACCCCCGCCCACCCTCCATTCAGCACCACAATCAAGTGGACAGCTCCACAGAACACGACACTAAAACAATGCGTTTTAACAGTTAAACAATGCGCTTTTGTTAACCACTGCTATTTCCCAGTAGTTTATATATATACAGTTAACTATATATATATAGTTAACTTCATGACTGTGCGTATATATATATATATATATATATATATATATATATATAGATATATATTATATATATACTATATATATATATAAATGAGAGAGAGAGAGAGAGAGCGAGAGAGGAGAGAGAGAGAGAGAGAGAGAGAGAGAGAGAGCGAGAGAGAGAGAGAGAGAGAGAGAGAGAGAGAGAGAGAGAGAGAGAGGGAGAGAGAGTCACAAACTTTAAAAAACATCAGTAAAACCCCAGTACGTCATGAAACGACAGAAAACAGAAAAGCTGAATGAAATGAGTGAACTGACGTTTTAAAAGTAGATACTGCCATCCAGTGGTGAGGCTGAAATAAACAGTAACTGCAGGACTTTTCAGTGACAGCAATTTTTTCTAATAAAGAGAGAAAAATAATTCAGTTTCAACAATTGTCTACCCTTCAGAGAATTTTCATGAATCAGTTATCGGAGTCACATGTCGTTTTGTTTTGTCATGATACACAATTTCATTATTATTAATACTTTTATTATTATACTTTCTCAGAAACTGAAAGCAGGTAAAATGGGATTTAAAGAAGTAGAAGTAGATTCAAACTCATTTCCGTTTTTGTTTTGTTTTTTTCACTCAATGAGAGGCAAATACTGTGTTCATGTGTTCGCGTGTAAAATACAACTTGATTTGTCAGCTTTTGTAGTAAGCTACAGACCTGGGATATGAGACAGAGTTGTGCCGACATCTAGTGGAGGAAGATTGAATTGACGAAAAACAAAAACCTGAGATGTGAATTTTGACCAACCTATAACTGCACAGCAAAATCAGTTTTTGTGTTTGTTTTTTAATGATTATGCTACATTATGGTTTGATTGTGAGTTATATTTATATAATCAATGAGGAGCGTCTAGCTAGATTGTGTTTTGATAAGTTTATCAATCAGTTATTAGTATCTTTACTGTGATTACTGTGTGCATTTGTTCAGCCGGTAGATGTCCTCATATCCCCGCAGCGCTGCTATTATTATTTCAATGTTTTCTCTCATTCCTGCTCTTTATAATTTTCATCATAAACTCATATTTCACTATGTGCACTATGTTTTTACATTTTCAAAAGTCTCTATGACATTAAGCGCCAGACGCACAGGAAAAACACAGTAAACCTAAAAAGTCAGAAAAAAGTAGAAGCCACCAACACTCTTGTCCTCTCTTTAAACAACTTTGAAATGAAATAAAATAGAAAGCATGCAGACTAAATGTGGTGGATTCATGAGCCTTGAAAGAATTAAACGAATCGTCGTGTGTGATAGTAAAAAACCCCTTCAAAGATTCTCGATGTTAACATCTGTAAGAAGAAAGAAATCTTTTGTTCTTGATGAAGTTTAGCTGCCAGTTGATACGTGTTCCCTAATTTTCTGTTGTTATAAAAAGACCCAAAAGACCTCAAAGACCTAATTTTTTATGACTAATGTAGGGCAACGGTGTAAAATCTAAACACTTGTGAGACCGTCAGACATAAAGGAAACAATGAGTATGATCAAGTATTCTAAGCT